CCCACCTCACTGCATATGCCCTCCGCATCTCTTCAACCCTTCCCTTTGCTCAACTTCATCATCCTCACTCACCTTTCCCTCTCGCAATTGACACGGTGATTTTTTCAACATTGCCGTCACTCTCTCAACACTCGAATACAACAGCAAGCCTCAACATCTCATCACCATGACATCCAGCCTGGCTTCGTGCATCTTTTGCAAGATCATCAAGGGTTTGTGGTTATCCCCCCCCCAATTCCCGCTCCTCATTTGATTTCAACCCCAAGACATCTCCGAACCTCCGCCGACCGCAGAATCAACTGATATTTCTCTCCCCTCCAGGCGAGATTCCCTGTTTTAAGCTCTTTGAGAGCGAAAAGACACTCGCGTTCCTCGATATCAACCCCCTGAGCCGCGGCCATGCTGTAAGAACTCATTTATGTCACGTGATCCTGTAATTATAGACTTACATTGTCTCCGCAGCTTGTCATCCCCAAGCACCACGGCGCCAAGTTGGCTGATATCCCCGACGATCAGCTCAGCGAACTCCTCGTCAGTTTCCCCCCCCAGTTTCTCCCTCGTCCCCTTGTGCGTTCGTCCTGACCCCTTACATTATTACAGCCTGTTGTGAAGAAGCTTGTCGCCGCGACCGGTGCCACCGATTACAACATCCTCCAGAACAATGGCCGCATCGCTCATCAAATGGTCGACCACGTGAGTGTTCCCCCTTTTCTCATCTACCTTGCCATTCATCATAGCTAATTATCATAGGTTCACTTCCACATGGTAACACTTCTCACCAGCGCCTCATATTCGCGTACTGACACCCATTGGAGATCCCCAAGCCAAACGAAACTGAGGGTCTCGGCGTCGGTTGGCCCCAGCAGGCGACTGATATGGACAAGCTCAAGGCTCTCTTTGAGGATATCAAGTCCAAGATGTAGAGAAGCCAATTGTGGTATTTTCAACACCCCCGCCCTTAACTCAATAGCAGGGATATCAGTTCCCCGTAATTCAACGTCTCTGGCTCTTTCAACCACTTTTATCCCCCCAACCGATTCTCATAACCTGCGTGTACGTCCTTCGTGAATCTAATGCCGGCTGTGCCGGTCTCTAGTCTACATCATCGGCCGATGTCTCGACCGCGGGAGCTCCGTTGGTCGGCGCGGGTGCGGGTGCGGCTGTCGGCGTAGGAGCTGCGGCAGCAGGAGCGGGAGCGGGAGCGGCGGGAGCAGGTGCCCCCTTGGAGTACATATCGATCTTGCCACCATCCTGGATAACGCCAGTCCGATCCAGAACGCACTTTGCTCGGAGGTAAGGGTCGAGCTTCCAGTAGTCATCCCTGAGTTTGCGAGCAAGGTCCTCGCGCTGTGCCTTGATGGCTGCCTCCTTGTCTGTCCCAGCCTCTTTGATCCACTGAAGGGTTGTCTCCTCGTACTCGTGGACCAGTTCTTCCCTTCCAGAAAGCAGCGCGTCTCTCGTTGTCGTATCCTTCATCTTGTCATTCTCTCCAGCGACTGGCTCCAGGTACTTGTAGTCCCAGTCTTCTTGGCCGTCGAGCTCTTTGAGGATGTGGCTTGGCTCGATGAACTCGGACATTTCCTTGACATTGTTGGTGAAGTGGACCTTGGCAGCTACGACTGGATCCAGCCAACCCTTGATGATCTTCCAGATACCTGATAATTGTTTAGCTGTGTTACTTGAGATCAATCAGGGGGATAAACAGACCTTGGAAGACCCAAGGGGCCTTGTGCACCAGAACGGCACCAAGAGATTCGGGGTAGTTTGCCTCGAAGCACTTGATCATGAACTTCACAGGGGTGTAATCCTAAAGCAATGGTAAGGAGATAATCCATCAAGTCGCATTATACGGGGTTGACTAACCATGTTTGCCAGTGAAAAGCCGGTCATATCGAATACGATTGTCTTTGCACGATTAGCACAAGCCGGACCATCAAAACACGGGTAAACTTACAGCAGTATCGACAGGAGGGGCCAGAACCATACGCGCTGTCTCGATCAAGAAGACAGTATACTTCTCGAGACTCTCCTCGCATTGCTCCCCCTGTCTATGCATACGCACCCTAACCTGGCAGATCGGGCGTCCTCCCTTATCGAGGCCATGGATGAAAGTCTTGCCTGAACGAGCCTGTGTCATAAAGTCCTCTCCCAACTGCTTGATCTTGGGGTCGGAATTTTGCGCAGCTTCCAGCGCACCAGCCTCACCACTCTTCATGATTTCGTCGTCAACCTTCATCTCGGTCAATCTCCAATGCATTGTGGAGATCATCATGACAAAAGCCTTCTCAACGTCCCACTTCCGCGCTCTCAGGAATCGCAGGGCAAGAGCATCGGGATGGTCATGCTTGACCATGGACCATATCGTGGCGCGCAAAGCTTCGGGACTTTGGTTGGCCAAAGCCTGCTTGAACTGTTGCGTTTGGCCGTACTTGTCCTCGCCATCCTCCTTGATACCGGCTGGAACGGCTGTGGATGTCGCGGCGCCCTCTTTCTTGTCCTTGCGGCTGAACAATGAAGTGCGCTTCTTCTTGGGCTTGTCGCCTTTGCCGGCAGCCGACGTCTCGCTCGGTGCTACGCTAGCAGATGCGCTGTCTGCGGCAGCGGTGCTGGTCTCCTCTCCCAAGGACAGAATGAGGTTCCACAGTTGGCGCAACTTTTCCTCCTGCTCCGGCGTGAGGTTGCCCGGTCTCCCAGGGGGAATTTCCGTCGCCATGATGTCTGATGGGTGAGGTTCTGCGATTTCGGTGTCCGGTTGAGGGTCAGATTTGGATCCGGTGGTTTGCTGATAAAATAGGCCGTATGCGCACGCAAGAGCAACGGCCACAGAGCAGAGGACGACGTCAACCCGTGACTCGAGGAGGACACGGGGTTTATTGAGGTTGGGAAGGCCCGGTGACTGTGGTGATCCGAGTGCTGGGAATCGTCTGTAATTTGAGGGCTTGGAGGGACAGTTGAATTTCCGGACAGAGGGTCGGACTAGGAGCTGCCGTCCAAATCGCGAAGTCAATGGCAATTGTGCAAGGCGAGTCCCCGAAGCGTACTGGAGGGAGCTTTGTGGGAACGTAAAAATTCGAGGCAAGGCCGAGGTTTGTGGTTTCAAACAGACCGGCATCAGTCGACGACGTCAGTCAATGCTTCAGACTATATTAGTGGTGCTGAGACGGGGTCAGCAGGGTCATCCCAAAGTGTAGTGCGTTGGCAAATGGCGGCGGGTTGGAGAGGAAATTTGGCAAGGTGAAAAGAATCAAGCCAAGTGATGCGCGGATGGCCGGAATATGGCTTGCGCCGGAGGTTGAAGTGACGGGAGGGAGGGACAGACTGGGTGGCTGACATGCGCCGGAGGGGAGTTAAGGTATGGAGGGGTTGTGAGGATTGGGGAAAGACTAGGGGTAGGTACCTACTTTGGTTACGCGGCTGATGGAGAGTTTACGGACTGGCGTCTATGCGGTTGGCGGCCAAGAAATGACAATGCAGAGAGACGAGAAGAGCAAAGTTGAGAGGACTATCGAAGCAAGGTACAGAGAGGTTGATGGATAACGCAGTGAGACCGGCCGGGTCTATTACGTGGGCAGTGAATGTGCGACGGAGGGGCAGAGTCGCGGACTGAGCTTGGAGCAAAGAGGAAAGTCGGGGGCGACGGGGATTGAGGGAGGCTTAGACGCGGCGGACAAGGAAGAGGAGGACGACGACACCTCAGCGACAATACCTGGGTAAGCGCAATGTAGCGAGGGTCGAGCGCTGTACTTCGTACCCCTTGGAGGCTGTTCGAGCTTCACGGAGTTGCTAACTTGGTGGACGCTGCGCGCAGGAGTTGCTCAATTTCCGAGCGTTCCGGACTGGCACAGCTTCCAAGAGTACCGTTGGACCTTAGGTGCCTTAGTTGGTATCTGTTGTTGTAGTAATTGGGTGTCAGCTGTGGATTTGCCCAATGTACCTTGGAGTTGGCGAACTATTGTGGTGCTGAGGTGTGGTGGGAGAGGAACTGGACAGCTTTGCGGACCCAGCAAGGAGGCCGACCGGGAGGGATAAGATATGGGTAGGTTGAGGTGGGATGTCGTTGAGAGCGGGGTGTCGGATGCGCGCAACCTTTTGCAGTGAAATGGGACGTGGTGGTCAATTCTGGTCGTTCAGGATTGCAAAATGGTGAACATCAACGCTGTGGTAAACCGTAAAAAGTACGGAGTAGACGAGCACAATAAAATACGACGTATTCGAATCCGTAAGATGCCTCAGGGTCGCGGGGGAAGTGCGAGTGCGAGTACCGGTATCCGTACCTTCCTCATTACGGAGTACAGCAGGTCCACCAAAAATCATCAGAAATGACCACGCGACCTCCCGTCGGATGCGATGGGCAAGGGGCGCCAGGTACCTACCTACCTTACCTAGGCTACCTGTGCGTGTCTCCTCCCTGCCCGGTTGGGCGAACGCGAGGTGAGGTACCTATTCATACCCCGTACCCTTACTTACCTTAATGGAACTTCGGGGCCGAGCCACGCGAGACGCGCTCGATACCCTCCCTACCTTGCCTTAGGTGAACATGGAACGGAACATGACGGGAGTCCTGTCTGCCCAAGTTCTAATACCTGGGATGGGCCTGAGGAAACCCAAATTTGCGTCATCCCGCCTAATGACCAGCTGTCTGCTGGGGTCTTTTAGAGATGGCGGGCGATTCTTGAAGCACCTACACGTGCTGAACTACAGTTTTGGTTTGCGCTGAGTGCGGGGCCATGCCCTTGGAAGATCGAACCCCGCCAGGTATAAAAAAAAAAAGATAGCGAGCCTTGTACCTGATATCGGGTCACCAAATCCGTCAGCTTTGTTGATGTTGACTTTCACTTGAGCTTCCATCAACCAGCAACCACAGCTCACCCCACAGCTACTTCGACACCCCGCGTTATACCGACAGCTGCCACCGACACCGAAGCATCTGACAACGTTTCTTTCGCCGAGTCCCCAACGCAAAGCGTTGCACACAGTACATCTCAATTCTACTGCCCATCATGGCAGACTACGACGCTCACGAGAAGCGATCCGCCTCGCGCACGCGCAACTCCCGTCCGACAACACCTATGCGCCCGACCACGCCTCTGCGCCCTTCTTCGCGATCCTCCTTTCGCGAGTCCGCCAGAGATAGTGTCCACGGCGGCGGCGAATCATTTCCCCTCAACACCTTTGAGCCCGCCTTTGCCGAGCTCTCGGACGCCATGGCCGACCTTGAGGCCAATATGATGCACTTCCAGCTGATGCACGAGAGTTTGGCGCGCTTCAGCGAGTCTTTTGCGAGCTTCATGTACGGTCTGAACATGAATGCCTTTTGCGTCGATTTTCAAGAGGTACGATTGTTCCATAAGCTATCTTGCGACGCACTAGCCAATGCTGACCTTTGCTCGTTTTCCTCTCTAGGGCCCTGTTCCCGAGTCCTTCAAAAGGGCGAAGCTACAAGAAGAGATGAACGCAGCCGCAGGATCAGGTACGAGTTCCAACCAAATCTCAGGTGCAACCTTGTCGGTATTTCTAACATGCATATTCACAGGCATTCCTCGCGCGTTTGAAAAGCCTAGCAATGATTTTGACGGCGAGACGACTTTTATGTACTGATCCATACCCTGGATTCCTCCATTGAGAGCTTTGTAAGTATCCTGCTAATCATTCCCAGGACCACCGACGTTTCATTCGTTGAAAACCCACCCGCCTCCTCCAAGCCAACCCCGAAATACAAGACTCCCGGCACAGCTACTAGAGGTTCCCGTGTGCCGGCACCTTCTACACGAGGAGGCACAACGCGTGGTCGCGCGGGAGGCCGCGGAGGCTCCGAGACAACGAGAGGTCGGGGTACCGGGATCGTCAGACCGCGCGGCCGTGGCATCCGGTGAAAGTGCTTCAACAGATATCCGCTGTGGAAATTCACCGCTGGCATCATCGCCGCCGCTTGCTTGCCTTGCGCCCCCGGCCATCACAAGCTGGATCTCAACTTCCCGACCACGGCCCTTCAGGGTGCAGAAATGAGAAAGGGCTGATGGCGATTCCAGTACATTATGTCGTGAAAGGGTATCATCTAGCGTCTACTCTTGAGCCACGGTAGACTTGTGGGCAAGGGGCAAGCGTATCTCAGGTCTCCATCTCGATCTCCTGGTCGAGGGCCTTCTCGGGGCCTCCCTTGTTGGGGCCTTTGTCGTCTGTTCGAATGCCAACGACGGCCTCTGCCTCTTTCTGGGTATACGGTTCCTCCTTCAGCTGCTTGACCCTGGAATTGACTAGGTTAGCGGGGCCGCAACAGACGAGAACATATGTTGGCCAGCCGGAGGCATGGAAGTGTAGTAGCAGAAGACGAACCTGCGCTTATGAGGCTTTCCTTTACGGTGTCCCACGAGGCTGACCTCAGTCTCAAACCATTTGGCGCATTCGATGCAATAATGTTGACCTAATCCCGGAAGATCCTCCTTTGCTTTCGATCCCGTGAAACGTTGGAGGTGGCGCGGCGAGCGCAAATCGGCCTTGATTTGGTCGACATCCCTATAATATGCTTTGTTAGGAACCAAAAGACGACTTTTTATTTTCCGTTTGCTCCCTAAAAACCCTTACCTCGTCTTCCTTCGCGTCTTGGTCAGGGTTTTCTTGTTGGTGACGCCCATTTTGCTGGTTCGGCGGGTGCGACGAGAGAAAGCACCAAAGACCTGTGAGTTATCGCTGTTGCGTCCGATTTCAATGGAAGAGAGAGTGGCAGAATCCCAAAATTGACCCTCGAGATGGCAATGGCGGGGCAGAATTTTGGTGGTGAGCCGCAAAAAAGTTGCTTCACCGCTCACAAACGACGGGGATTAGTGCCTCCGTAATCCCGGATCCACTAAAAAGTCCAGGTAGGTACCTGACAGATAGAGTCGCCCGAAGCTTGAACTAAACTTAGGAGTGGAACGCGAGGGGACGCGCCCGGATAAATGAATATATGGGTACTCCTGTCACTTGTACCTCCGACACTGCTCCGCCTCTATCCCCAAGACGCCCTTGCAACCCATCTTTAAAGATGATGGTTGTCCTTTCGGAAAGTCACCGCACAACAAAGACGACCTAATTGTGCGATCGCGCAGCTCTCGGGAGCTGCAGAACAACAGCTTCCGTTATGTCGCGACTGATATGTGAGAATAACCCAGAGACCCCTTGATCCCCCCCTACTCTTACCCCTGTTGTAGCTGACTTGACATCGCATCTTATCAGCTTCGGCATTGTCGTTGCGTCGCGATCCGCGCATCCTCAAGCTCCCGCCCTACATCTCGCTTGCATGCATCCTAGGCGGAATCGCATGGCTGTTTCTATTGCCTCTAAACGACTATTCCCGACGAACCTACATTTCCGAGAATGCGCTGCTTCCGGGTCAAGTGCACACGTATTTCGGTGGAAGTGATCAGCATGTGCTGAGGGCGTATAAGCATGAGGTTAACTCGGTCAGGGATAAGTCAAATTACGAGTATGGTGCACCACAATTCATCCTCGCGGCTGTTTTAAGCGTTGTTGGTCTAATCACTGGGACATGACAGAATCAATGACAAGCTCGAGGGCATCCTCAAAAGCGTTGGCTTGAAGGTCGGCCGCCAAAACTACACGTACGAATCCGCCGGCGACGTATATACCGGAGAGAACATCTACGCCATTCTTCAAGCTCCTCGCGGTGATGCCACGGAGGCTATTGTGCTCATCGCGGCTTGGAAGACGGTCGATGACAAGTTCAACCAGAATGGCCTTCCACTGGCGCTGACGCTGGCGAGGTACTTTAAGCGGTGGTCACTCTGGTCCAAGGATATCATCCTCGTCATCCCTCCGGACAGTAGGACGGGCACCCAGGCATGGGTCGACGCATACCACGACTCGCATGACTCCTCCCGTGTGAACTCACTTCCACTTAAGTCTGGCGCTTTGCAGGGTGCCATCGCCATCGACTATCCGCAGGAACACCGTTTCGAGTCCATCCATATTATCTACGACGGCATCAACGGCCAGCTCCCCAACCTGGACCTCATCAACTCCGTCGTTAATATCGCGGGTGGACAGATGGGTATGGGCACTGCCATTCAGGAGATGTGGTCGCACTCCGACAAGTACCGGGACCGACTCCTCACGATGCTCCGCGGCATGTTGAATCAGGGGCTCGGCCACGCCTCTGGTCCGCATAGCAGCTTTATTCCCTACCATGTGGACGCCGTAACTTTGCAACCATTCGGCGAAGGGTGGCACGATGAGATGGGAATGGGCCGCCTTGTCGAAGGAACGTTCCGCAGCTTGAACAACCTGCTTGAGCACCTCCACCAGAGCTTCTTCTTCTACCTACTCATGCAGAAGGAGAGGTTTGTGAGCATCGGCACGTACCTACCAAGTGCCATGATTCTGGCCGCCAGCTTCACCATCACCGCAATCTCCCTTTGGGTGAAGAGTGGCCACCAGGACCAGCCATCAGCTGCGCCCAACGCGGTGGTGAAATCCGAGAGTGAGGGCACTGCATCTCAGGAGGTACTCGAAACCGCAAAGGGAACAAATACATCGTCACCTTCTGTTCCCGCCGTAGAACGCGATCTGTTTCTTCCTCTGGGTCTCGTAGCCGTCTGCCAATTCCTCGGTGTCGTGCCATTGTACATCTTCAACCACATGCCTGCAAACGTAAGCTCTCCCTCCCATTCTCAGCTCAACCAAGATGCAAATACTCACTTTTCAATCCTATAGATGCTCGCTGGTGCATACACAGTCTTCGCCCTCACCAACTGTGCCCTCCCCTTTTTCATCTCATCGCTCCTCGCCTCAACGTACAACCCTACGGTCCAGCAATACCAGCTGATCAAGTCATTCTCACTCCTCCTGCTCGGCATGTTCCTCTCAGCTCTGGCGACCCTCAACTTCTCTCTCGCCTTCCTCGTTGGTGTCATGGCTAGCCCGCTGTCCTTCATGAGGCCGTGGCCAAACCACGCGGCCATCCGCTGGGCCTGCGCCGCTTTTCTCCAGCTCGCATCCCCGACGGCGGCGTTGTACTCTGTCTCGTCGTACTTTAACATCAGCATCGGTGAGGTTCTAAAGGAAGCGGCTTTCGGTTGGGATGTTTGGGGCATGTATACGCCCGTCATCATTTGGGGAGTGTGGTGGCCTGCCTGGCTCATGGGATCCGTCATCGTGCTTGGACAGCCTACAGCCAAGTCAAAAAGTGCATGATATATGGTGCTAAGAGGGTTGATCACGTAGTCTAAATGACAGCATTATTCCTGACGGAGTTAGGAAACGACAACTGCCAAAATTATTTGAGCTTTCAGGATTAGCGCATCGGGAAAAGGGGCAGTAGCATTGTCATCAAAATCATAACGGCCCTTTTTTGGAGGCCGATTTCCATTCCTCTTCTAAGTCTAGTGGTGTACATTGGTCCTCCCCCTGCCACTGTAGACCTTTATTACAGGCATAATTTTCCTTTCCGCCCATAAACCTGGTATCCTCTGCTATCCACTAAGCTGCCCACACGTCGCCACCAGCGGTCTCGATCCAGTTACCAAGCTGGTTGACTTGCGAGTCCCAGTCGAGCAGCCGCTGGCGCATGTTGCCAATCTGCTTCATATCAAGCACCTTGGGCTGGACCCAAGTGATGTGCGCCACCTCGTCGACCTGGTCAATGTTGCCGCGCAGCAGACCCAGACTGAGGGCCTTCATGATGAGGTGCTCGATTTCGTTGGGGCGAACCTTAGTCTCCTGAGCGATATCGGCGAAGGACATGGCACGATCGTGGGGCGGCCGGCGGAAGACGGCCTCGGTGAGGGATGCGAGGTAGATCTTTTGGCGGAGGTGGCCGGCGTTCTCGGCGAGCAACGGCTTGGCCCGCATGCGAGCCGAGAGAGCTTCGAAGCCCTGGAGGTCGCCGCGGTTGAAGGCGAAGAGGAGGTCGCGGAACCACTCGTCCTGTGTGCCCTTGAGGGCGTCGAGGACAGGGTGCAACAGCAGCTCACCAAAGTTGTAGATGGTGTCGGAGACTAATGCGGCGATGCTGAGGTGCAGCGCTCTTCTGTGTCGCTCCTGGGGTGTGAGGGAGTTGATGTCGATGCAGGCGAGGTAGAGAAGGGCGTTGCGGTAGTAGGCTGCGAACTCCATCTTGCGCTGGATTTTGGAAACCATATCAGAGAATGTCCTGTACTTGCTCGGGGAAGGTGGGCAAACAGCTTACCTGGTAGTAGTTGGCATTCGCATCATAGAATGCTGCGTGGACAATCGTCTCGACGGAGTCGAAGCTGTCCAATATTCTCTCGGCTGTGTCGAGGTCCTTGCGAGCGCCGTCCATATCCTCCAGATCCAGCTTTACTCTGGCAACTGCGACGGAAGCGTATACAAGGGCATCCTGTGAGTTCTCGTTGTCCACCTTCTTCGCGACTCCTTGGAGGAATGTGAGGCGCTCCTCATCATCTATCAAGGCCTTGTCAGTTCCATGTCCTCTCCTCACTCCTGTGTGACTATGCCTTACCAGAGCATTCAGTAGCAGCCTTCAATGCCAGGTCGACAAGCTTAAGCTGGTTGATCTTATCCGCAAACTTGAGAATGAAGACCTTGTAGAAGGAGAGTCGCTGGGGCTTGCTGCCCGGGTGACTGAAGAACTGGCCGAGGGCGTCGGTAAGCTGGTGCCAGAGTTTCCTCTCCCAGTAGTTCTCGAACTCCAGAACAAGGTGCTGGAGTTCCTCGGGGGCCTCGTCGCGCTGCTCCGCCAGGAAGTCGGGAATTGCGTCGGCGCTCATCTTGGTGGGAGGTCTCGGTTGGTGGGTGTGTGAGCTTCGGAGGGGTTGAGGATGACGACAGAATCGTTAAAGAAAGACCACGTGACAGTTCTTTCCTCAGATAGCAGCTTCACTTCAGAGGCAGAGGAATTGAGGCTCGGGGGCGGACTTTCGTCGTGGAAAATGCCGGGGAGTTCGTCTGGTAGTTGTGTAGATGGTGTTGATGAATGCAAGCAGCAGCAGTTGCCAGTAGCAGCTCCGGAGGGGCGATGCACATAACGCGGCTAGCTAGCAGCCTGGTCAGTCAGCTAAGGTAGAGAGGTACGTAGCGCAGCACCGATTCGGATGCTTCTGGTCATGGCCCACTTCCGGACAGGGCAGCCAATGGTTGTTTTTCCGATCCTATGACCATAGATTGGGCCGTGCACTTGCTTCCACGTGACCCGCTCACCTTCCGTCCGGGATTCTGGATGAAGCTCGCGACTTTGGAGCTTTCGGCCGGTCAAGAAGCGTTCAGTTGCGAGTCAATTGAGGGGCCACCGCACTTATTTGTTGCAGCCTCGATATCCGAAAATGGCCTCCTTTCAAACCGCCGTGCGGTCGACCCAGAAGGTCGCGCACAATGCCTTGAGAAGCAGGCCCATCTCCGATGTTGCCATCACCCGTACCGGCAAACCCATCCTGCGAACCCAGGGCGGAAGGTAGGCATACCGATCAATTGCATATATATGGGCCGTTGCTGACTCGATTCTGATCACAGACACTCTCTCGGTGGTATGAATCGATCGAATCTTTGATTACGGAGCCTTTGTCTAAGGGCGAATTATAGGACACACTGCGACGGTTTTCGGCGCAACGGGACAGGTTGGACGGTATATCGTGAACAGGCTCGGTACGACCATAGATACACGACGAACCGTTGCTGCAGTACTGATCAAGTTGTGTAGCTCGTCAGGGATGCACCGTTGTCGTTCCTTTCCGCGAGGAGATGGCCAAGCGCCACTTGAAGGTCTCTGGTGACCTTGGCCGAGTCGTCTTCCTTGTACGGTCTCCCTTCCGATTTGGCGGATTGAAGTCTAGGAGGACTAATGAGATGGCTACAGGAGTACGACCTCTACAACACCCAATCGATCGAGGAGAGCGTTAGACATTCCGATGTTGTCTACAACCTGGTCGGCCGCGACTACCCCACCAAGTAGGTTTATGAAGCGAGGGGCACTTGAAGATCGATGGCTAAAAAACGCCCAGGAACTACTCCCTTGAGGACGTCCATGTTGAGGGAACCGAACGGATAGCTGAGGCTGTTGCCAAGTACGATGTCGATCGCTTTATCCATGTCTCCAGTTACAACGCCAACCTCGAGTCGACATCCGAGTTCTTCCGCACCAAGGCCCGTGGTGAGCAAGTCGCTCGTAGCATCTACCCCGAGACCACCATCGTGAGGCCGGCGCCCGTCTTCGGTTTCGAAGACAACCTCCTCCTGAAGCTCGCCAACGTAATGAACCTCTTCACTGCCAACAACATGCAAGAGAGATTCAGGCCCGTCCACGTAAGCTCTCTGTAACGATGCCTACCCTGCTTGAGACCTAACAGTTGCAGTCCATCGATATTGGCCAGGCTCTCGAGGTCATGCTCTACGACGACAGCACAGCAGGTCAGACCTACGAGCTTTACGGCCCCAAGGAGTATTCGATGGCCGAGATTGCCGAGTTTGCCGACCGCGAAATTTTCAAGAAGCGCCGCCACATTAACCTCCCCAAGGCTGTTCTCAAGCCTATCGCCGGTCTCCTGAACAAGTACCTCTGGTGGCACACCATGTCTGCCGACGAGGTTGAGCGTGAATTCATTGACCAGGAGATTGACGAGACGGCCAAGACATTCAAGGACCTTGGCATCGAGCCCGGTGACATTAGCAAGTTCACATACCACTACTTGGTAAGGACGCCTGTGATTTCCTCTATTAAAGTCCCATGTATTGACTTCCTTATAGCAAGGTTTCCGCAGTGCCAACTTCTACGACCTGCCCCCTGCAACAGAGAAGGAGAAGAAGGAGGAGCGCAAGTACCTGCACGTTCTTGACGAGTAAGCCTGGGTTTCATTTGTTGGAGGAATTTGATTCTGGGCAAGCAAGTCGTTTAGAGTGTATATAAGTAGTCAGCTAGACAGAGTTGCAAAAGTCGAGGAATCCATGTACAGTTTGAATACCATCTCTCAAATGTGCGAACGTTCTTCAGTGTGATTGATGTTCCGTGGTGTTGGCATTAGTTGGTACTTTATGTCTGCAAAATCAAAGCTGATTCGTTGAAACAGTGTAGTTTCTGACAGTTCAAACTGGGTCCTTGACACAGACTTAGCAGTCCTTTCACCTCACTTTGCGACTCAGTCTTCCTCTTACATTTTAACCCTCTTGGTCACTGCAGTCGTTATCCTGAAACTTTGTTTGTTCGCGGCTGGCTTACCTGCAGAATTCATTTTTTTCCCTTTGATCGAACAAACCACAAAAATTTCCGTCAAAGCACAGTCAAGATGAGCATCTCAGACAGCGAGGACGAGCCTCTGTAAGCCAGCTCCAATGAATTGAAAAAACTCAACCCCCCGGTTCTCCACCGGACAAAATGACACAAGATAGACTGACACATTTTTCTTGCGCCGACAGTACTCTCTCCTCGCACGCGTTGGCGGCGCTGGCCGAATTCAAGGCCGAGGAGGATACCCGTCTGAAAGAGTTTGAGAGGCTCCAGAAGCTAGCGGAGGCGAAAGCGGCCAAGAAGGCGCCGATATCCATGGCGGCGTTCATGGAGGACTGGAATAAGTCGCAATTTTGGGTAAGGAGGACCTTCTTTTTTTTTTTTTCATCAAGACACGGAAAAGCGATGCGACAATTTGCAGGGGGGGTTTCTGGAGAGACAGAGAAAAAGAGAACAAAAGTCTCACTGACGCTTTTTTGTTTTCTTCATTGTAGTATTCTGACGAGACGGCGAATTTCTTGGCGAGGCAGCTTCTCGAGGGCGCTGATGCGGACACGACGATTGCGATTGTGTCTGCGCCCAGTGTGTTTGTTGCCCTGCATAATATACTGGTAAGAGCACCCACCATAAGGGGCGATTCGCCATGTCTCTGGATGATTTAGTAACCGCTCTACAGACTGCACGAGACGAGAGCGAGGCCCGGCCAAAGGTCTTTTTGCTGGAGCACGACAACCGCTTCAACGTCTTCCCCGAGTTCGTCTTTTACGACTTTGCGCAGCCGTTCAAGCTTCCGGGCGAGCTCAAGGGTGCTGTAGACCGCTTCGTCATCGACCCGCCATTCCTCAGTGAGGACTGCCAGACCAAGAGTAAGCTCAATTCCCCAGTCCAGTCGCGCAGACCACCCCCTCCCCCCTGGGGTTCAAGTAGAAGAAAGAACGCTCCCATGCTGATGAAAGTCTTTTGGTTCCCAGCCGCCATGTCGGTCCGGTGGATGATGAAGCCGGACGCCGCCGAAAAGGGCCGCATCATCGTCTGCACTGGCGAGCGCATGGCCGAGTTGGTAAACAGGATATACAAGCCCCTAGGTGTTAGGACCGTCACGTATGAGCCGAGCCACGAGCGAGGGCTAAGCAACGAGTTTTGGTGTTATGCAAACTTTGAGTGCAAAGACTGGACGTGGCGGGAGGCGGCTGCGAGTTGAAAAAGGGGGGACACATCCTTAGAAAGTATCTCCCTGGCGATGCGGCCCTCCTATCACCTCGGTTGGCTAGCTCGTGACGATAGACGGGTGCCTCTGGCCCTGATAGGGGCCCGACTTGACACATGTTTCTGGTTTGCGAGATTTCAATAGAAAGTACATACGCTTGATCGCTGTTCTATACAATGATGGCTCCTTCGGATTGCCATTCAAAATGCGGATTTTGTTGTTCGCCTTTGCCAAAAGGCCCAAGATGATGCATTACCCACGTTTATTTCCAACGCCAACAAGATGCTTGATTCTCCGTCGCCCACCCCTTCGCCATTCCAAAGCGCCCCTTTTCCCATACTTTCGGCGGGCCACCGTGTTACCTCGTTTGACCTGGTGGCATTACTGTTTTACACTGCTTGGTATGAGACGTTCTCGTTCCCTCTCGAGGTATGAAATTACGAAAGTGAACGAATAATGTAGAAGAGCAGATAGGGTTGAGCGCTCATGACGTCTGACTTTGACGCCATTTCAACCTTGTGGTCGTTGAACTTGAACCACTGGTCGCCTACTCGGCAGTAGGATACGTAGTGGCCTAAGTGCTCAGTCAATAAAAGTGTTCAAAGTGGTTCGTTATATGTCAACTGACCCGTGTCGATCTCGCCGACGTGGACCACCACGCTAAGGAGGTCGTACGTGCAAGATCTTCCAAGGTCAAAGGCATCCTTGGAGTCCGCGCCTCTACCTCTGGTAGTATATGGCAGCATGTTGAGCTGAAGGGGGAAGTTAACCACCGTCTCGATCTTTGATGCGCGGTCATGGCGGCCCTGCTTGTACTCAAATCGCTGGCAATGATTGTTAGCTGGCGATAAGGACACCGTAATCATGCGACCAGACATACCTTGAGCTGTATCGCGAGCACATTTGGCAGCCGCTTAATGCTGGTGGCTCTCTTGGCCTGCTGCATCGAGCTGCAGTTGTGGCACCGATACTCGCACTTGTCTGACTTGACGTACTCCTCGTCCAGGCACTCCTGCAGAGTCAGGCTGGGTACCTTCTGACCTCCCTTCTTTCTCTTGTGAGAGAGGTTTTCCAGTCCAAGACTGAGGTCCAGGAAAGACTGGACCGCGTTGGTGACGCCTCCGCAATTCTGGCAAGTAGTGCCAGTCTGGAGCTTGCCGTAGAATGTTTGGTGGATGATGCAGTTACATGTGTGCTCGCTTCCAGTCTCTGGGCGCTTACCATCTCCGTTTCGCTCATGCAACTCCTCGGCGAGGAACTGGAAGAACTCATGGGCATCTTGCTCCTTGGTGGTGACGAGGTTCTCAAATGCCTTCTTCTCCGAGATCCAGAATCCAGACAGAATACTAGCCGCCGTGAATCCATTAGTATTCTCAACAGCATAGAAGTCCTGGAACATGTCATCCATGGCACAGCTCAGGCAGTTTGTCAACTGGCAATCGGTGCTCTGATGGCCGTCGCTGAGGTAGAAGTTGCGCAGGAGGGGGTTGTGGAGGAAGCTCTGCAGCACCACATTCTGGTAGCATGTTGCTCCGGCGTTGTAGATTCCGCGCAGACCATTAGCCTTGCAAGAAGCAGTGGTGGTGTTGTTGGAGATATAGCCTGGGTTGCTTGCAGAACTATCCTTGACACCATCTGAGAACATCTCATCGTGCTTTCTCTTGCGGTCTGGAAGATTAATCAGCATGTTGGTCAGGTAGCTGGGAGTCAAAGAACGGCAGTGCAACAACGCAAGTCGCGATATGAGGTGAGAGGTGATGCCTCTGATGGGTAAGGACAACTTACTGGAAAAAGTTCCGGTTCCCATCTTGCGGACTCGAAGCTCCTCGAGAGTGGGGTCCCAGACTAGGTCATCACATATCTGGCAGTAGAGGGCACCACTCCTTGAGTCGACATCTAAACTTTGTTAGGAAGTTCACGTTCATTCTCGGTGATGAGCCACATACAGAAGCGATGCTGCTTCTTTGTGCCGTGCTTGAGACGATCGTCCTCATTGACAATGGTAGAGCACTGTAGGCAGAGGTAGTTGGATGTGAGAGACGTCATGACCTGTCCATCAGAGTTCTTAAATGTTTGCGGAACAACAGGCGTCTGCTCAAAGATGTTCTTGAGGATCATCTTGTAGTGGTGGACACACTGGGTAATACCCTCTGTGGACTGGGTGAACAGCCGCTGGATGTGTTCTGTTTGTATCCTGTCAGCCTGACTCTGGGACATTCCTGCTGTCGCGGCAAGGAACAATTAGGGCCTACTGACCGCAGCCAAAGACCGGTGTGCCAGGGAGGGGCGATTTGACCTTGGCGGTCTTTGGAGACATCGGCGTCGTTGGTCGAGCAGACATCTTGGGTGTTGTGGATGGTGTTGTTTGATTGATCGGTCGGTCGTCCTGCTCTTTCGCCTATTTTCTCTTGCCTTGAAGCACCAAGGAGGCAAAATACTGGGAGTTTCCCTCTTGCGCCAAAAAACCAAGTCAAAAATTGATCCAAAACCGAGAATATAAGTGTGTGATTTCGATGATGGGCAAGGAAGGCGTCGTGGATCAGTAACGGCCGGAGTCGGGCGAGCGCAACAATACTACTAGAAATCCACAGTTAGCCGCGAGTTCGTCGCAATAAAATGGGTCAATTAGAATACAAGAGACGGGGATATAGAGCGAGAGTAGGATTTACCGGCTAGAAAAGCTGAGCCAGTGATGCTGAGCAAGTAGAGGGTGTTTGGACTATCGGAAGGAGCGAATTCGCGCCGTGTTGAAGCTCCCCAGAGAGTGGGCGGGTGGGTGAGCTTTGGTGGATGGCGCAAGCCGAAGATCGAGAAGGTCCGCGCGGGCTGTCGCTTCCAGCCCCAGTCGCAGCCGTGGAAGAGGCCAAAGTTGGTGGTGCAGAAGGAAAAAGAACCAAAGGCTCCAGACTGCGACAGATTTCATGCGCAAGGAGCAAAGTGATTCAGGATCGTCGGGAAGGCACAGTTCCCAAAAGGCCTTACAAACAATCCCTGGAAGTTGCAAATGTTGGAGCTGGCGCTGGGTGCACAGACGGGTAGATTCCGTGGCGCCAGCGGCCAACAGGCAGTAAATCCAGTCTTATCGGCACCTGATCGGGCGGTTTCTTATCGATAACAACTTTTGCTTATCCGCCTGCCGAAAGTCCCCCTTATGCCCCTGAATTCCCACAGGACCTCGGGGCACTTTTCAGTGGGTCTAGAAAAGGACCCTCCCGTCGCAACGCGGCCGCGCAACAGTGAGGTCACTGTCACTGATGAGATTTAGCACGCAGTACCTAGACATTGCTGAGGTAAGCTGCTTACAAGAGACTGGACCTCTCGAACCTCAAAGTGCCCTGCCTTTCGGCGCATTTTGTTCTAGAACCTCGGCATCTTCATTGCCCCTCCATTGCGTCTTCACGTACATGTAGCACCAATTTGTTCTATTCGCCAAACTGAATGCCCAGCGTCACGTCGCGGCTATTTCTCTGTCGCATACCTTAAGGAACATGCGGGGTCTTGTGTCCAGCGTGCTTTCCCAATGTAATCGCAACCCTGGTTTGTGACTAAGACGGCCAATCTACTCAACCACACCCGGGGCTAGACATATCGCCCGTCTGAATCATAACAAGAACAACAACATAATGGCTTCACAACTAGTAGCACTGCCCGAGATCGAGCGCCTCAGCCCAGCCTGCATTCGCATTCTGGGCGGGAACCCTGGAAAGTTTACGCTGCAGGGCACCAACACATATCTGGTCGGCACAGGCAGCCGCCGTATACTCATCGATACGGGCGAGGGCAAGCCATCGTGGATCGCCGCGGTCAAGTCGACCCTCGAGCAGGAACAGGCGACGGTGGAGAAGGTACTGATCACCCACTGGCACCATGATCACACGGGCGGCATCCAGCAGCTGCTACAGCTGTCCCCAAGCTCCGAGGTTTTCAAGAACCAACCCGAGGAGGGCCAGTCAGACATCTCGGACGGCCAAAAGTTTTCCGTCGACGGGGTCAGTCTTACCGCTGTCTTCACCCCGGGGCACACCGTCGATCATATGGCCTTCGTCCTAGAGGAGGAGGACGCCATGTTCACGGCGGATAACGTCTTGGGCCAGGGTACCGCAGTATTCGAGGACTTGACCGTCTACCTCGACAGTCTTGAGAGAATGCAGAGCCTGTTCAAGGGAAGGGCGTATCCGGGTCACGGGCCCGTGATTGACAACGGTCCGTCCAAGATCCAAGACTACATCAACCACAGGAAGGCCCGAGAGGAGCAGGTCATTCGTACGCTGAGGACGGCGAGGCAGGGCTCTGGTATCGAGGGCGATCCCTATGCCTGGACGGTCATGGAGCTTGTCAAAGTCATCTATGCTGATGTTCCTGAGGAGCTGCACATCCCGGCGAGCGGTGGGGTCATACAGATCTTGGAGAAGCTCGCAAAGGAAAACAAGGTGGTCCAGAGTGACGAGAGATGGAAGTTGAAAGATCGATCGGCGTTGTAGTCCGTCCAGATGATAGACTGGGGCAGAAATGGTAGCGGACCTTGGCCGGAGCCTCGGATCCGAAGACGGTAAATGGACGTCATGATATAGCATGCTGGGGTAGCAGGAAAGTGGGGATGGACCTACGCATATCATAGAAACCAGACGATCCCGCAATGAGTGTATGAGTGCGTTGAGCTTCTAGTGCAACACAATAGCATCGAGTTTTTCATGATCGTACGGCGATTGGAAAATCCGCGTACCTGAGCCGGGCCATGTGCATCGCGATGGCTCTGCGGCAAGGTTACACAGCGCAACGAGACCGCCGGAAGGTTCGGGCAAGTCGAATCTCGTGACGGCGCGGGACGTACGATGATAGTGGAGCGCCACCTGGAAGGCTAGAAACGGCGGTTGCGGTCTACATCTCACCAAGGAATTTCTGCTTCTTGGTAGCATCGAAACGGATGCGCTGTTCCGATATCTTGTGACGCAAGCTTAACGCAGCAGCGGTTGAGGGCGGTGTGGTGCAGCAGTTGGCGTGGAATAGACTAGGGTCTTGTGGGTGATATGTCATAATCTCACCCTCACTGGCTTCGAATATGAGAACGCCGGAGCAAACTGGTGCGGCATCATGTTTTCGTATGTTCAGCTTACCTTGTTATACTGAGCGTTGTAGTCGGAAAGGTGATAGAGATACCCGCCCTTCAGCTACAGATGTGATTTTCAAGATTAGTTTGTAATTGCACAGAACTTGATACTTGCTTTGTGTCCTATAGGTAGGTAACGTCATGTCAAACAGAGTAGCCTTGAGAAACTCCTATGATTTTGACGATGCCCCGTGATCGATGCGGGTCGGACTCCGACTTGACTCCGGGGCCTACCGACCGCAGGCCGCAGGAAAAGAGGGGCCTTCGCTTATAGACTCTTCGTTGTTCAACCATCAGCTCCGGTCGGCCATGAGAGAGGTACCTCAGGTAGGTACATCGAAGGTACAACGTACCCGCCATTTTGTCATGTGGAGCCAAGGAAGAGGGCGGGATCGCGGGTTTGAAGGGCGGATCGAAGGCAAGGATGCGCACGTACGGATTTCTTCTGTGGATTTGGCCAGGTGGTGGGTGGATGGGTGGTGGGTTTCCTGCTTGCATCCAGGTGGTTTTTTTCCCCCTCCTCTTGGTGGAGCTGCGGGAACTTGTTGTTCATGAGGCTGCTTTAATTTTTGCCTTGGCTGACTTATCCTTTGCTTGTTGGCTTCCAGGTGCCTGTCCCATTTGTAATGCGGCCACTGTATGGCGTACCACTGTGCCGTTTTCCTTAGGATTCTGTAAGTGGTGATTCAAAGTGAATCATCGGGACCAGCGTCTGTTAACGTGGGGCCTGGTTCACCTTATGTTTCGGTCAACCGCTCATATTGAGCATACTCAGGCCAAGGACATGGCGCAGAGAGAAGCAGGAAAACTCATTGGCTCCCTTGAAGTCAGACCATTGAGAGAAGCAGAGCAAAGTATCATTGCAGACTGCAGGTAGGCAGCAGAATAGAAGTGACATGGAAACGAGTTCATCATCATCAATATAGGAAATCAGAAGTTCGAAAGTTTCACAACCCCATGGCTGGTCGGTCTACGGGGGTTACGGGACGTGAGACACGCCGTAACGAACTCCGTACATGGCCTGTTTGTACGGAGCTTTTGTGTATCCTCCGTGTCCGATTTAATTGCTCTTCTTGGCGCCGCGTTGGCAAAGGCTCGGCCGCCCGCCGGGCGTCGTTCAACTTCCAACCCGGGGTGAGAAGAAAACACAGCCCTTAGGCCTCCAGATGATGTTGCAGTGATTGTAGAGCTGGGCGTCAGAAGAACTTGACGCGGCTTACTCTCAACAGACGGAGCTTCGGAAGCGCGGCCGACACTTTGGTTTCGTTCTTTGATTCTTACGTTCCAGATTACCTACCTAGACATTTCATGTCGGTACTTCGCGCTTCCCGCATCGGCCGGCACTGGGGGCCCTGCACGTCTTCGTTCTGCTTATTAACAAACATCATTTTCTCTGCCCTATGAGATTTTAGCTTGTGGCCGGGCCCCTCTCAGAGACTCAGTCTCTTGCTTACCTCACCCATCGGTGGAGTGGGAACGACGCACACCATACCATAACCTCCATGGAAGTTACACTACAGATCGACGCAGGCAAGGCAGGACAGGACAGGGATAGGTAGGTGATGCGACGGAGTTATGCGATGGCGATAGGTAGCTCGCCCGTCTTCCCCGTGTGACTCAACTCCCATGCCTAGACGGAAGTATTCACAGGTCTTTGGGTCTTTGGAGGGCGCCACGTTCATGTAAGAATCTGACATGGTGGGACACACATCTCTAGCAATGTTGGTCCGTTGTACTGTCGACTTACAAATCCAATAGACCCTTCTTCAGAACCATGGGTGGACACAAAGACAGCTTCGCACCTCTGACGACGACGCTCGAGGGACTGCGGCGACCACCACGAATCGACGCGTGTGTTCTTGACGGCTTGGTGGTCAGAAACCATCTCGCAGGGCGCTTGAGGCCTGAGGTACTGTAAGGCGAGAGAGACTGATCGGTGATTGAACAACAAAAAGCGGCACTCGGCTGCCGCAATCTTGGCAATAAGGTTGTTTTGTTTGGTGTAGGTCTATTTGCCCCGTAGTCGCTACCTTACCCACTGACCTACCTGGTGTCCCTAGTCCCCGTTGATCCCGGGAGAATCACACATAGCTGCATGGTCACGGATTCCATGTTCGAGGGAGTACATTTCATTGCTGGAGGTTTTTCTCTCTTCTCTTCCTCATGAGGCTAACATATGAAATGAGTGACGCATCATGTGTCTTTATGAGATGCAGCCACTCACTTATCGAGAACGAGGTTTTCACTTAGATGTCATGATCGGGGATGGTTGATGGATGATATTGAATGACTAAGCGTGTAAGTGTGTGAGTGAGCCAACGGATGAGTGAGAGTACTAATGCAAACTGCTCCCGGGTATACCCTCTGTTTCCCAAGGCAGTCAAGGTGAGTACACACTTACCTTACCTTGCGGTCCTTACCTACCTTGCCTGCCCGTCTAAGTATGCACGCTACTGCACTCATCGCAACCTTCTTCTCTCCAATGAGGTGGTTATGAAAAGTTCTGGCAGGGTCTCATGGCGTCACTGCCGCGAAATCCGCTGGAGTAGGGCAGCTAGTCTGGTAAGCTGGTACAGGAAAGCTCCCCGCACCCCCACTAGATTTCTCAGGATGTGTGGTGCTTGCCCCACCAGCATCACTAACGGCGCGGAGGAAAGAAGGTGGAATCTCAGGGAATGAAGCTCTCGCATCTTCCAGGTCGTCCACATGTCACTCCTTCAAGCTACCTACCCTCTCACCTCCATCCATCTTCCAACGTGCTCGCGCCGGACAGCTCCCGTAGCTTCGGGTCGGTGGGCGGGTACATCCCTCGAGTACCTCCGCCAGCAAGGGCAAGGTGGGTGACAAGTTACTACCGTTTCCATCCCGCACAGCTCTTGGCCTAAGTCCTCTCTCTGGTCACTGGATGATGTTGGACTTGGCTGGACCCTCGCTCGTGGATGCCTTCGGAACCTTCGGAGTCGGTCTCTGCACATTTTTTGACCTTGTCACCACTTACACACACATGCTGCCGAGCATACTGCTGCCACTCGCCTCGCGTCTACCACGGTCGGTGACTTCTTTTTCGCGGCGGCCGCCTTACCTTACATGGGGTGGGCAGGATGACTTCCAGGAAGCCTCCTTGACAGCATGTACAATGCACCTCCGGTACCTTCTTGTCCCATCTCATAAAGGTACGATGGAGATGGGGAATGCGCCTGGGTATGACCTGACTTCTGGCTGCCCAGTCCCAAGGTACCTAAAGCCCGGCCATGTCATCGCCGTGTACCGACGCCGGCTCCAAGAAGCTATCGTTTGCCTACCCTTCACCGTGGCTTTGTACCTCATTTACACATCTAGACAAGAATCTTGTCGCAAAAGGACTTCTCTCGGTCTCCGCTGCGGTGCTGGCGCCGGTGCGACGTCTCAAATCCTCTCTTCGCGAGACCCCACTCTACTTGCTGTTTAATAAAGGCGACCCGACCTCGCTCTCGCACATTGTGTTTTCTCGATTATCTTGAAGCTTACCATCCTGCTATCTTTCTCTTCGCGTACGAGGCTGCAAAGACGCACCAAATAGACCCACCCGCCCTACTGAACCTTGTCTGAATAGATCCGGGAAAAGTTCGAGGTCCTCTTTGCGACATAGCCGAATCTGACATTGCCTCCTCTCCTCCTGCGACAACGGATAGCTTAGTCGCAAAGAGGCCCTTGATGAGATTGTCAGCTAGCCAAATCACCGCGGCGGTGGTACTGGGCATTGCGCCCTTGGTTATTGCCCACGGCGCTCACGAAGCTGGCGCCGGCGCCGGCGACATGGAGATGGACATGGGCATGGCCCACGGCGCAGACGAGCCGAAAGCCGAATCCAAAAGCTATCCGCCAACATACTTTGCGCTCGCCGACCATGCGGGGATAATGTACGCACACATTGGGGTTATGGTGCTCGCTTGGATATTCGTTCTGCCAATTGGTAAGTTTGCCGAGCTCTGACCAGTAATTCTGCGCCGACTTACACGCCATTGGCAGCTGTGATGCTTTCCATTGCCCGCTCTAGATATACACTTGCGCTACAATTCGTTTTCATGGCAGTGAATGCGCTTGGAGTTCTCCTAGGAACAATTTACAATGCCAGCACACCTGATCTCTACCCCAACAATGCACACCACAAGCTGGGCTGGCTAGTAACCTGGGTCCTCTTGGCGCAGGTCCTGATCGGCCTTGTAGGACGAGTTGCTGGAGCTCTGAGGCACGACAGTCGCGAGACGTCCGACGACAACGAATACCAATCATTCATTCCAGTTTCTACGGCTGCCATGGCAGAGCACCACCTCATCAACAGCTCTCGATATGCTAGCGAGTATCGCCTGTCCAACGATAGCGGGCAGGGCACTGAGCCTTGTACCGAATCGCTCCGGAGCCATTCCCGCTCTTCGTCGTCCAATGAGGTGTCCCCGCGCAGCTCCGATGCCTACCTAAAGGAGTACGCCGAAGAAGAGGACGACATTGAGGATGGCCTTCCCATGCCCATGCCGAGTAACAGGAACGAGAACACCAGTGCCAACCCCAGGTCGGCGATTGCAAGGGTAGCGGGAAGGATTCCTTCGCGCGTGTTGAAGGGTTTAGTCTTTTTCTACAACTCAGTCGATAGACTGATCTTGCCGCTGGGGTTTGTCACCTTGTGCCTAGGTATTGTGACCTATGGGCGGTTCTTTGTAAGCAACACATGAACGAGCTTGCTGGAATTGTAACGCTAACCATACATAGGAGGGCAACGGCATCTTCAGCGGTTTGGCGCATTGGGTCAAGGGCGGCATTTTCTTTTGGCTTGGCTTGTTGACCCTTGGTCGATGGACAGGCAGCTTTGGTGAACTCGGATGGGTAAGTCTACAATCCATTATCGGCCGTGTTCGGGACCGGTTCGCTGACTTTGCTCCGGTAGGCGTGGAATGTTCAACCGAAGCGTGCCGGCGGCAAGTGGCGGCCCTCGGCCGAGTTTGTCGAGAGTGCCCTCATTTTCGTCTACGGATCGACCAACATCTTCCTCGAGCATCTTGGGAACTGGGGAGGAGAGTACAGCGCACAGGATCTAGAGCACATTTCAATCACCGTTCTCTTCATTGGTGGTGGACTGGTAAGCCTCTCATCGACAGCATCGTGAGTCGCGGAGTTGACTAACACATGGAACCAGGTCGGCATGCTCATCGAGTCCAGTCGCGTTCGAGAGCTCTTGAACACATCAGTCATCAACGCCGCTTCTGAGCACTACCACGACGAGGAAGGGCAGAAGAAGGATCTGCAGCCGCCGAAGCAATACGAGTTCTCCATAAACCCTATCCCGGCACTCGTCATCCTCCTCCTGGGCATCATGATGAGCTCGCACACGCAGCACTCTATGGTTTCGAGCATGATTCACAAGCAGTGGGGTAACCTCCTCACCGGCGCCTCTTTTGCTCGTGGATTCTCATATGTCATCATGTACCTGAAGCCTCCCAAGTCCATTCTCCCGTCTAGACCTCCCACGGAGCTCCTTGCCGCCTTTGGCCTGATTTCTGGCGGAATCATCTTCATGGCGAGTGTAAGTTTCCTTTCAACTAATTTACTCCGAACGAGCAATGGCTTACAATAGGCCAGGCTAGCGACACTGTCGAGGGTATGGAGCATTACAACCTCGATGCCATGTTCATGTACACCGTGACCATGGGTCTCGTGGGCGTCCTGATGGCCTGGGTCGTCATCGTGTTGGCCATCAAAGGCTGGGCAGTACGCAAGGAGACCGGCCGCCGATCGTATCGGCTGGCTTGATTTATCGGCAAAGGATTAATCTTGAGTTGCTTGTGTACCGCGTTGAGCGGTATGAAGTGCTGGTACGGAACGACAACAACAATGACGCGGTAATGAGGATGGGGTCGATCACGGCATTAGACAGCGACGGCATGTGTGAAGCATGGCTGAGGGCGTTTTCTTCTTCTTTTTTTAATCTTTAATCCTAGAGATACCCTCATGACAGCTTGGAGAGTTAAATCATTATTTGATTATCGTAATGATTTGCAAACCCCGATGATATGAGACACAGCAGCAATGGATTGTGTTGGATGTGAGACTCTTTTGCATTGGTCTTGCTACGGCTCCGTACACGATTGCCATTATCCATCTTCTGTGCCTGTGCCAACTTCATCCTTACTCAAATCCCCTGAGGGTATCTATCTTCTTTGACCCTAGGCTCTCTCGTGCCGCCCTTTGACTTTTACCGATCCTGTACCCCAAGAAACTTTTCGCGCCGGGATTTCCTTAATCCCCCGAAAGACGAGGGTCTATGAAGCTACCAGTGCAGCTTCAGAGAGAGCTATTCGAACTAAACTCCTTCGTTTGTCCCGAAATTTTTTTGATTGCGCTCCTGTCTCGTTGACTCGTTTCGCTGTTCTCGGTCCACACAGAGCTTGAGAACGGGTTTCGATGCTCTGCAATAATTGGCGTATCTCTTCAGTCGTGAGGCTTGGTAGCACGCCGTAAGTCCGAATGTCCTATGAAAATCAAATTCCGGCGGACGGATAAATGACCATTTGGCTTTTCGAAGATTCGTGCCCATGTTGCGATGCAAAAGACGTTTGCCGCCCTCCGATTCCTCCATATCAAGGAACTCGCCACAGTGAACCCCTCTTCAACCAGAAGTCGACTTCCTCTTCTTGGACTTTTCCTTTTTGTCCTTTTTGTCCTTCTTTTCCTTTTTAGGGGCGGCTTCCTCCGCCATGTCTACATCCTCATCCACGGCGACAGCCGCAGTAGCAGCAGGCTTGACGACGCGCTCCTGGTCCCGGGCGGAGTAGAGCGCGGTGCCCTGCTGCAGGGCGTGAATCAGAAAGGGCAGCGACTCGGCCTTGAAGTCGTCGGCGGCGCGGACTTTGTCGAGGTCTTCTGCGAATTCTTGGGTGGTGCGTTGGAGATAGTAGGTTGTGAAGTCTTGGGATGTTGTGGTTGCCATGATGGATTGAGATAAAGAGAATATGTGATGCTGCGCTTGTTGCGTTCTTCTTCTGCTTGCATGAGAAGGAAGGAAGTGCGTGTATATGTGCGTGTGCAATGGTTTTCGTTGTGAGATATCAGTTGGGTTGGGGTTGCTGTAAGTGAGTTTTGAGATGAGATGAACTGTGAGATATTGGAGGTTTGAAAGTTTTGAAGGACAGTGTGAGAGGACAGTGCGCGACTGAGATGACACCCACCCAAGCGCAGACGAACCTTTCTGAAAGTCAATTCGACCTACACATTTGGTTTAGTTCATACAATGTCTTTGATTTTTCTCTCCTATGAATATGAAAGATATAAGGAGAACGACGAAAAGTACGTCAGTCTATAACCAAACCATCCAATTTGTGAATTTGATTCTGCACTTTCCGCACACCACCTAGCCTTCTCTCTACCTAAGCAAAATTTCGGCGAGTCAAGGTATCCACATCCGATATGGTGTAGTGGCCAACATGATGCCCTCTCAACTCTATGAGAGAGAAGTTAGGCATAGCCCCGAGTTCGATTCTCGGTTTCGGAATCTTTTGGCTTTTGTTTCCCCTTACTTAGTACCGCCTTCATCTTTAGATCTAGCATATCTGTCTGTTTTTTGACATATTCGTTGCTCATGACTTCATGTTCCTGGCATCATTGTGTCTGCTATGCTGAAACTGAGATGTATGTACAACGATCGTCCTTGCATCAAAATATCACTTCCGTTCTGTTCGGACTTTCTGCGAGGGCCCGTCAGCTTAACCTCAATAAAAACAAGATGTCATTCATCCACTCGTAAACACTTCAAGCCGTCATTTAAACCCCAGCCCCTGCAATTGCAATCTCAGATGCCAAAAGCGGCATTGAAGTGCCGGCGCGGGGAAGCCTTGTCCGACTAGTGATGAATTTGACATTACTCCGAGCTCTAAACACCTTTCTTTGCCCCTGGTTTGTCGTCTAAAGACAACTCATCTCGGCTTATTCGAAAATTGTATAGCGAGCAGTCAGTCAGTCCCATGGTTCAAAGTTACATTATCAGAAGCCATTTCCATCCATCTTCTAACATGACGCCTCGCCTCGGCAAGCCACTCTCACTTGAATCATCTTCTTACCCGCAGAGGCGCAGGCGGCGGCGTCTCGAACTCCTCCCCGTCCCCGATGCTTCCCCCGATGCAGGAACTCGTCCTTGGCCACACCCTGACTGACCTCCGAATGTAACCTCACACTCCCCCGGAATAACTTGGACTGAATACCACCCCCGCCCGCCCCGCAATCCCCGGATTTGCAGCAGTCCACAAGCGGGGTTTGGGGAGAGACCACCTCCCTATCCAGGTTCCTAGCAGAGCCGATCACCCAGCAACCGCTGCGCCGTGCCGTGCCTGGCCAAATTTTTGAGAGGGATCTCATGGAAGTGACGTGGGTGTTTTCAGTTGTCATACGGACGGTTACGTGAGATGAACCGCCCTCGTCCTCTCATCGCCTGGCTAGACATGCGGCTGGGAAGTGAAGGATAGGCCTACTTACAAGCTTCCCCGCAACTCTAAGCCAATGTCACATCGGTCGAGATGCCTCCATGTCCGAGTTGGCCTTGTGATCGGCCGAAATTTTGCGGGCCAGAGCGGAGGGAACTTTGGGAGGTTTTTGGCGTTATATGTGCTCGTGTTAATCGACTAGGTCTTGGCACGATATTGTAACGGCTGAAAAGCTCTCCGCCGTTGCAAGTGACTAGTCTAGGCGGAAGCGTATGTCGGAGCCGGTCAATGGTACAAGGCATTGCCAGCGGAGGCTGTCCGTTACCATCTAGAGGTTCGTCTCATGCTTTGGTCCCATGAAGAAATGTCCAGTTGGACATCTCCAAGCCCAACTTCGAGGGGGGTTCATCCTTGGTTTGATGTGGTCCAAGTCAGCATGATGCCCTCCATCACTCTTCAACCCCCTTGCTGAGGTAAACAGACTTACGTACAGCCACATCATCTGAATCAAGTTTTTTCAACCTCCAAACGTCTGTCTCCCCGTGAGTTCTCCATCCGGCAAAGTCGCCGATGTTGGCCAGTTCCCTTTGGGGGACGTCACATCCGTCTGGGGTTGCTTTCCAATGCCGCGATGAACCATCTTGGCGAAAGCCTCCTCGCTTGCCCTCAACGGCCGACCCCGCTTGGAGCTTCGTGCTTCTTGTTGCTGTACTTCGGCATCATGTGAAAATTTGGGGGTGATTCCAATCGTACTGCACTTCTGACTGTAAGCAAGGCGAGAAACATCGAAAAATATGGGAAAGGAAGAATGTGGGTGGTAGTTTGCGGGGTAGAGGACCATGATGGGCTCCTGACGTTGGCAAGGTATCGATGTAATGTAAGTTAAAAGAGTGAAGGATAATCAGACAAGAGGAGGACGAAGAACAATCTATATAAACCCAATCATCATCCCCAGATGTCGTGATCAACCCTTCCAATTGCACAACATCAGCAACTCTCAGATCACTACCAAAAACAAACTTACAACCAATCCCACCTTAGATCAACCAGTCAACATGCAGTTCACCACCGTCGCCGTCGCCTTCTTCGCCAGCCTCGTCGCTGCCCAGGACCTTTCCCTCCTCCCCGACTGCGCGGTATGAAACACCTCACCTCACATCTTCCAGTCCTCCTCGCTCGTCTACCTCCAGATAGATAAACGACTCCTGGTGCTTCCAAGTTTCGAACCATGTGGCTGACAAGAAAAATCCTCGATATCTAGCGCCCCTGCTTCGTCGACAACTTCCCCATCTCGGGTTGTACTGACCAGACCGACTTCGCCTGCATCTGCGCGTGAGTTCTTGCCCCCTGTTTGGGACCCCTTCACGAGGCCCATTGACTGATATGTGCTGGATACCATCTAGTTCCGCCGCGTACAACAGCGCCGTGACCACCTGCGTCCTAGGTGCTTGCCAGCTTTCCGACGCGTAAGTGGACATTCTATCACTCTCTCTGCCTCTCTCTTCCCGAATGGAGGAGGGGGGGGGGGGTCAATCAAGCATTTCCAAATACTGACTTTTGGGCTCCTAGTCTTGCTGCCTCTACCTGGGCCCAGAACACCTGCGCCGCTGCTGGTGTTCCCATCTAGAGTGTGAACTCGACTCGAAAAAAATCCCACTCTCTGAAGCTGGTCACGGCTTAAATCCGACGTGGAGGAGTTGATGAGTGTAAGGGAGATGGGGGAGGTAGGGGGGAAGTTTTTGTTGTGTGAAGTGTACATATTCAGTGTGTGGACCACAACTCCAACTTAGTACATATATACGACGTAAAATGAGAAAAATCATTGCTAGAAAATATCCTTTCACTCTCATTGACTGTGAGGCATGAAAAGCTGGATCTGCATGGCCGGTGTATCGAGGGTTGGGGTGGCAGGGGGAATGCCTTCATAGGCACGCAAAGTGGGACTGCTTTTCAACAAGCGTCGTCCGTTGTAGTCGATGGCCGAGCGGTATAATTCTGGCTTTCATTAGCTAGAGGTTGTATGTTGGCTCACGGTCCTACATAATGCCATGGATAGCTTGTTTTTTTCTTCGGTCCTTTTTTTTCCCCATGCGTATTCTGCCTCATATTCACCATGATGGATACACTCGGCACCCTTCTCAGTGTCACACAGTACTTAGTTTCATCCGGCCGACTTGCTTGAGAACTTGCTATGAAAGAGAGTGGGGGTTCTCGGGGCCCCTTTCTTTGACTCTCTTGGAATGTGAGACTTGCTTAGGCGCATGTTTATTCGTGAGATAATGTAGTAACCTATGCCAGGTTATCGGTTCCTGAGGTGAGGGGAGGTATGATCATCATGCTTGGATCTGGAATCCAGAAGGCCGGCACGCTGATGGCAGCATCTTGGGGCACACACTTGATCTTTCGACACGTCACGATCAAGGGGACTTGAAGAAGTATAGAGGTCTTCCCAGCCGAACGCATTCCCAATATGAAGACGATTTTGAGAAGACGACTGGAGACTGATGGTCTGCTCTGCGTGGCTATACGCGAATGATCTAATTGCTTCACGTGGAACGTATAGATATCAGTGAATGATTGCCCTCTTCACAACGTCGTTGGCAACGTCTGGACACTTGCCTAGAGAACGACAGACACAATATAGGTACGGAGCTCATGCATGTGATGAAGATTCATCCCATGTATTACGGATGAGCGGCATAAATTGGAACAATATTCAGATCACATATATTGCGGGAAGCGCTTGTTATCGACAGTGATCTAGAATATCTCGTCTGAAGCTTCGGCCGTCTAATGGAAACAGAAAAAAGCACGAAAAGTGAGCACAAGCATGCTCTAGCCAGAGCAGAAGCCCCATGTGACGAACCCATAAACGCCAGTCATTAAAAGCTGATGTAAAGCTTTCTAGGATTTCCTTGTTGCTCCATATTTGCCAAAGATCAAGTCTTCCTCATCGACGTGAGTCAAGGCTCGGTCTCGACGAGTCGAGACTCGGCCGCATGGAGCTGCTGGAGCTCCTGCGACGGCGCGCTCGCTGCTCGCCCGGGTCCGACGGCCGCAGTCCCGACGACTTTGCAAACATGTTCAAGATGTCGGTCAGCGAGATGACACCGGTCAGACGGCCGGAGAGATGGGCGCCTGGCATGGCCGCGGCAGGTACAACGTGCGAAACCTGGGTCGGGAGAGGCGACTGAGGCGCGGAACCAATGCCCGGCACCAGCACTGAGGACGTTGTGGGCGCCAACAAGGGAGTAGCCGGTGCGGACGGAGACGGAGACGCTGATTCAACAACCCACATGCGATGCGACTGAGTTGCCACCAGCTTTGCTACAGTGTGCGCCAGCGTCGAGTACGGGTTCACGTAGAAGACCGGGAAAGAGTCGCGGCCGTGCTCGACGCCGCGCTCGCCTAGGATGACGGAGATGAAGTGCATGCAAGACTGCTTAAGCAAGGGCGCGTCGGCAGCATTCGTCAGATGCTTAACATCTACGGTGGAGATGTTTCCAACAACATTGTGGCCGTTGTCAATAACAGCCACGCTCGTCAGACCCTCGGCGTTCATGAGCGCCAGGGCGTCTCCTAGAATACTGTCGGAGCTACAAAACATTAGTTCATATCGCAAGCTAGCAAGAGGAGCGTGTTCTCACTTGACGGAAACGATTTGCTGTGTGCCGATGCCGAGATCGCGCAACAGGACGGGGTATAATCTGTCGATGGCGGGAAAATTGATGCCTTCATTCCAGAAGAACTCAATAACCTTGAGCTGAGTGAGGATGCCGATGACGTCGCCCGAGGGGTTTGTGACTAGAACGCGGTGGATACCGCTGCCAAACACTTCGATGGCTCGTTCCAGTGTCTCATCAAAGGGCAAGGTGACGAGTGACTCCTTGCGGCAAAGCGGCTGGATATCTCGTAGGGCTATACGGTCTCCTGTCTGGGCCTTGTTGACGATTTCGTCGTACAGAGGTACCTGCTCCTCGTCGGGCCTGGCGAGTCCTACAACTACGAGGAGATATGTGTTTAGGTCATTGTAGTCAAAGGTTGAAACAGCGGTTTTGGACGATGCATCTTCTCGGATCAGAACGACGTTGGACGGGCTGTGTTTAACGAGAGTCTACCACAGCGTGAGTACAAGATACAAAGCACTTGGACAAAATGAAGAGAGAACGCACCATCGAGGCCTCCTCGACACTGGTGTCCAGAGTGACCCATCTGAAGTCATCTTGGGCGACGAGCTCGTTGACCGAGATATCGCGCCAGTCGCGGCCTGCAAAGCGCGGGTTCGAGTGCTTATTGGCGGCAGGTGGGTGGTTGAGAAGATCCTGTACAGCAGCTTGGGTGAAGGAGGGGTGTCGCTGGGCGCGAGGCGAGCCAGGCGCGTTTCTCAGATTCTCGGCAAAGCTCTGACGATGAGCGTGGACATGGGTGGTCTTGTGCAGACTCGTCTGGGAGGGAGTTCGCTGAGGAACAGCAGGAGGTGAGGTTATGATGGCTTCGTCATTGTGCGCCCCGGACGTCGGTGTTGCGTCCATGGCTTAATTCGATCGGGAGATGTTGGTGCAACCTAGTACGAGACGGTCTACTCGGGATGTTGTAGCAAGATGGGCAGAACGATCAAGGGCGGGGTTTCGATGGTGGTTGGCGGCTTGCTATGTTGCTGCAGTTTAGTGACTTGCTTGTCCAGGATCTCGTGATGTCGGCTTAGCGTGAGTCTTCTTCAATGAGTAATGCCTTTTCACTTTGCAAAAGGCGCTTCTTTTGTGGTGGCTGAGGGGATTATTGACGAGGCGCCGAGAGATGAAGAAGTCAACGGTCGGCTGATTGCGCCCGAGAGCGACGGTTGCCCAGCCTGGGCCGGGGAAGCTGCACCGCCTTACGTAGAGCTATGGATCGCAATTGAGGGGCTCCAGTGATCTGACGGATCCCAAGGTGGCAGGGGAGGCGAACTTGACGTGCGCTTTCTACGGGGTGTTCCACGGCTCTCTTGGATATGGTACTTTATTGGTTAAAACGTGATTTGACTCGTGCAGAAGACGCTGAAGTTTTCGAACGTCGCGATGCCGGGATGATGGAGCAGCGAGATGACAGTGTGGTTTGAACTATGTGTAAAAGGTCTGAAGAGAGTTCTGGCAACGACCACCAACGCCGACGACCAGACTGAGGCGGGGAAAGGGAGAAAAGAAAAGAAGCAAGATGAGGGGTTGCAGCTACTGGACCTTACCTTAGGTACCTTAGCTAGGTACCTCCCTAAGGTAGTTGCCTTTGCCTAAGGTAAGGTGAGTGAAGCATCATGACAGGCGCTACGGAGGACGGTGGTAAAACTTAGCCACGACACGGCGAGGTTGCGTACCCCGGAGACGTAACCCCAGGGATAGAAACAGCGCCGGCGGGGAGTTTTTGGGTGCTGGACGTTGGAATGGACTGAGGTTGTCTACACTGCAAGTGTAAGGTAGGCAAGGAATCTGTCCGTTACCCCTCCTTCGACAGGTATGTTGGCAGACCGGGTTCTCATTGGTTACGTCTTCTTCACATACCCCATAAGCCAGATAACCTCCCCTTCCGCATACTTCGGTCAAATACATACCTACGGTATCTAGATACATTCTACCTTAATCATGTCAGACTGGTGTATACCTATATTAGATATAGGAAAGTTGGGATTTGGTCTCGGCCAACGTTCATCACCCATGGGATGTGGTCAATAGGGCAGATGAAGAATTCCATGCAAGATCCATTCCCCTTTTCGTCTCTTTCTTGTCGGCAGCCACCTGCAGCACCCTTGTGCATCTCCAGCACCATTGCAACCAGTCGTTTACTATTCGATTTGTGCCTGAGCCTTGCCATTCAGACGGGCTTTGTACATTGTATGTGGCCGGACATTTCGCCGTACCGTCTTGACTTTTAGCCTGAGAAAGGGCCGTCCCTTGATGCATCGCCTCATCTGTGACTAGAGAAATGTGTCCAAGCCTACCTCCGGGACGTAGGATGGCAGGCACAACGGTAGAAACAAAGGGCCTTGTCCGCAATACGGCCTGTACAGCCATTTTCCCTCGTCTTTTATACTAGGGCAGCCGGAAGCTTGGACGAAAATGTGAGTGCCTCAAGATAGGAAGCTCCTTGCTTGTGAGAGCTTCTCGGCTTCATGCAACACATCTTGACATGGTGAAGCTTGCCAGCAGGCTTTTCTTTCTTTTTGTGATTTCCTCGGCAGAGATTTTTCCTCTCATGTTTTCCCCCCACACATTCCATTACCGTGGCCGGATTCCATCTTATCGTTTGGCTGAGATGCTTTGATACTACTGATTGCGTTTGGTAGTTGGTGGGCGAGTTGGTTCGATTGGATACCTATCACTGTAATCAACGTAGTGTTAATTGTCAGATGACAAAATTTAGACATTGTCCTTTTGGGATTGTATCGTCACTATGTCTCTTGGGTAGAGTTTTGGCATTTTGGGGCATACCAGCCAACGGGTTCCTTGGTAACCGACGGCCTGGAAAGAAGTTGACGAGCGTTGCTCTCTCTCTCTCTCTTTCTCTCACTGCCCGTCTGCGTGCCTGTGCATTGGAGGGAACCTTGATCAAACGTTGACCCTGTCAGTGGAGACCAGTCTTCACATGCAACCACAGCCAGTCAAAAGTCCAAGTCACTAACAAATTATTCAATACGTACACAGGATGGGGATGTGACGATGTACCTACTCCGTAAGGTACCGTTGGCACTTACACAGCAGAACCCCTCCCATCCGTCACCCCTCCTCCCCCTCCTCAAGCTGGGGCCAGGGGCGGGCAGACCACCGACAGCCCAGGGACAGCGCGTTTTCGTGCCTTGAGTTGCTAATAATGCTGCCTCGTACATACCACCACGGCACCACGGGTACAAATCTCGTCGCAACACCACCTCAATAAACTAGGTACCTACTATGTAAGGCAGGTAAAGTGACCACGGACGCCGGGCGGGAGGGACGTACAGGTGGAGCCCACCTTTGAGCAACAGCCCCGCCAAAAACCTGCCAAAATTATTGTCATTTTTTGCAGGTTTCCCCTCCACGACAAGAAGACCCGAAGAAGACCCCCCAGTCCTGGTCCCTCACCATCGCGGGCTTGCTGCCTCACTTTTTTGACTCCCGCATGGTCCTTTGTTTTTTTTCTCTTCCCTTTCGACCCAAAAAAAAAAAAACCTCCCTCCACCACCCGAACCGTGCCTCTTGAAGCACACGAAAACTCGTTGCGATCAGTCCCTTCTTCCAGAAGACGACTGCATATACCCGCCCTCCTCCCTATCCTCGTCCGACACGCGTTCGCTTACTTTGGCGCACCAAGACTGGGAAAAAATTAAGGTCCAGAGACATTGGGCCACCGAAAAGGGTAAAAAAGTACCCCTCAGAACAAAACATAACCCGACGCCGACTCTTATCCGCCTCTCCCCCGCGTATACCCTACCTCTTTTTTCGACAAGCTTTGCGCCCTCGACAACCTCACACCGCCCCGGCTGCGCTGTCTTGGGGCTGGTAATTAATTAATCTGCAAAACCACCAGCAGACGACTCGACTACCAACCACCCTCACCCTCTCCCGTCTCAGTCGCAAATATGTCTGTCCTCCCCCCAGACGTCCACGCAGAGCTCTCGCAGCTGCTGCAAGCTCTCCAATCCCCAGACAACTCGGTTCGATCGCAGGCCGAAGACCACCTTCAAAATAACTGGACCGCCACCCGACCCGAGGTTTTGTTGATGGGCCTCGCTGAGCAGGTTCAAGTCGGTTCTGATGCTTCGGTACGCTCTTCCACCCTGCACCTCACGCATCCGCCTCTACCTTCCCTCGCCGTTCCTACGCATGTAAACACAAACGTTCTTCTGACCTCCAGCTAACCGCGCCACCTTGCTTACCAGATACGCTCCTTTGCCGCCGTTATTTTCCGAAGAATCGCCTCCAAGAGCCGCAAGAATGACCGCGGCGAGCTGGTTGATATGTTTTTGTCCTTGTCTCAGGACCAGGCTGCCGTCATCCGCCAGAAGCTTCTCGAGAGCCTCGGCGGTGACTTCCAGCGTGCCGTGAGAAACAAGATCAGTGACGCTGTCGCTGAAGTCGCGAGGCAATACACCGAAAACAGTACGTCGACACACACATTCTGCTTCCACATGCTTTGGGACGTTCTGAGCCTAACACCATGGCAGATGATTCCTGGCCCGAGCTGCTGGGCGGTCTCTTCCAGCTTAGCATAGCGCCCGACGCCGAGAAGAGAGAGACGGCGTTCCGCGTCTTTGCCACGACGCCGGGTATTATCGAGAAGCAGCACGAGGACACCGTTATCCAGGCCTTCCAGAAGGGCTTCAAAGACGATTCCGTTCAGGTAGGAGAATTTCGATCCGTTTGCCATCGATATCAAACCGGCTGACTTTCATCAAGGTGCGCCTGGCCGCCATGGAGGCGTTTGCGGCCTTCTTCAGGAGCTTGGGAAAGAAGGCGCAGCCCAAGTACTACCCTCTTATTACCGATGTTCTCAACATCATGCCGCCTATCAAGGAGAGCCACGACTCTGAGGACCTTAGCAGCGCCCTTGTCGCTCTGATTGACATGGCCGAGACCGCGCCCAAGATGTTCAAGCCTCTTTTCGGCAACTTGGTCAAATTCAGCATTTCCGTCATCCAGGACAAGGAGCTTGATAATCTTTGCCGCCAAAACGCTCTCGAGTTGATGGCTACTTTTGCCGACTACGCACCGTCGCTGTGCCGCAAGGACGAGACCTACACAAACGATATGATCACCCAGTGCCTCAGCCTCATGACTGACCTCGGCGAGGACGATGACGATGCGGCTGAGTGGCTGTCATCTGACGATGTGAGTGACACTTTTTGGACTGTCTGAAATTTTCATCATTGGAGTACTAACACTTCTATAGCTGGACCAAGAGGAAAGCGACCAGAACCACGTCGCTGGAGAGCAGTGCATGGACAGACTCGCCAACAAGCTTGGCGGCCAGACCATCCTGGCACCGACCTTCAACTGGCTGCCCCGCATGATGACCTCCATGGCCTGGAGAGACAGGCACGCAGCTCTGATGGCTATTTCCGCCATCTCTGAAGGCTGCCGGGAGCTCATGATCGGTGAGCTCAGCCAGGTTCTCGACTTGGTTGTTCCTGCGCTCAAGGACCCGCATCCCCGTGTGCGCTGGGCTGGTTGTAATGCTCTTGGCCAGATGAGCACCGATTTCGCGCCCAAGATGCAGACCGACTACTACGATCGTGTTCTCAAGGCCATCATTCCGGTCCTCGACTCTCCTGAGGCTCGTGTCAAGTCGCACGCTGCTGCTGCCCTCGTCAACTTCTGCGAGGAGGCCGAAAAGTCCATTCTGGAGCCCTACCTCGATGAGCTTCTGTCTCACCTCTTCCAGTTGCTCCAGAACGAGAAGCGCTACGTCCAGGAGCAGGCTTTGTCGACCATCGCCACTATCGCCGATGCTGCCGAGGCTGCCTTCTCCAAGTACTACGATACCCTCATGCCTCTGTTGGTCAGTGTTTTGCAGAGAGAAAACGACAAGGAGTTCCGCCTTCTCCGCGCCAAGGCTATGGAGTGCGCTACGCTGATCGCCCTGGCTGTTGGCAAGGAAAGACTTGGCCAAGATGCCATGACTCTTGTCCAGCTCCTTGCCTCCATTCAGCAAAACATCACCGATCCTGATGACCCTCAGGCGCAATATCTGATGCACTGCTGGGGACGTATGTGCAGAGTCCTCGGCCAGGAGTTCCTTCCCTTCCTGCCCAACGTCATGCCACCTCTTCTCGAGCTCGCCAGCGCCAAGGCCGACAT